ACAATTTAAATCGGCGCCACGATACGTGGCGTTTACAATTTAAATCGGCGCGACGATACTTGGCGTTTACAATTTAAATCGGCGCCACGATACGTGGCGTTTACAATTTAAATCGGCGCCACGATACGTGGCGTTTACAATTTAAATCGGCGCCACGATACTTGGCGTTTACAATTTAAATCGGCGCCGCGATACGCAGCGCTTAAAGTTTAAATTAGATCTAACTCCCTAGGGACCTGCAGGCAGAACAACCAATCGGCGCCGCGATACGCAGCGCTTAAAGTTTAAATTAAATCTAACTCCCTAAGGGCCTGCAGGCAGAACAACCAATCGGCGCCACGATACGTGGCGCTTAAAATTTAATTTGGCGCCACAATACGTGGCGCTTAAAGTTTAAATTATATCTAATTCCCTAGGGGCTTGCAGGCAGAACAACCAATCGGCGCCACGATACGTGGCGCTTAAAATTTAATTCGGCGCCGCGATAACGCGGCGCTGCTTAAAATTCAAATTAAGCCTAACCCTCATTGCGAGCCTGCCGAACAACCAATCGGCAGCGCCGCGATAACGTGGCGTTGCTTAAAATTCAAATTAAGCCTAACCCTCATCGCGAGCCTGCCGAACAACTAATCGGTGGCGCCGCGATAACGTGGCACTGCTTAACATTCAAGTTGAGCCTAACCCTTATCGCGAGTTTGCCGAACAACCAATCGGCGGCGCCGCGATAACGGGGCGCTGCTTAAAATTCAAATTAAGCCTAACCCCCATCGCGAGCCTGCCGAACAACCAATCGGCGGCGCCGCGATAACGCGGCGCTGCTTAAAATTTAAATTAAGCCTAACCCCCATCGCGAGCCTGCCGAACAACCAATCTTTCGCCGCGATAACGCAGCGCTTAAAATTTAAATTAAATCCAATTCTCGGCGAGCCTGCCGAACAACCAATCGGCGCCGCGATAACGTGGCGTTGCTTAAAATTCAAATTAAGCCTAACCCTCATTGCGAGCCTGCCGAACAACCAATCGGCGGCGCCGCGATAACGTGGCGTTGTTTAAAATTTAAATTAAGCCTAACCCTCATCGCGAGCCTGCCGAACAACCAATCGGCGGCGCCGCGATAACGGGGCGCTGCTTAAAATTCAAATTTAGCCTAACCCTCATCGCAAGCCTGCCGAACAACCAATCGGCGGCGCCGCGATAACGCGGCGTTGCTTAAAATTCAAATTAAGCTTAACCCCCATTGCGAGCCTGCCGAACAACCAGCCGCGGCGCCGCGATAACGCGGCGCTTAAAATTTAAATTAAATCCAACTCTCGGCGAGCCTGCCGAACAACCAATCGGCGCCGCGATAACGCAGCGCTTAAAATTTAAATTAAATCCAACTCTCGGCGAGCCTGCCGAACAACCAATCGGCGCCGCGATAACGCGGCGCTAAAAATTTTAATTAAATCCAACTTTCGGCGAGCCTGCCGAACAACCAGTCGGCGCCGGATTTCCTTACGATTTACGTCTTACCTCTTCCGTCGATTCGTGTGTCCGGGGCTTAACACATAATACGTAAGCATAAGAAAACTGATTGGTCTATTTCCTTATGCACATGTGTATGGACCAATCAATTTTCTTATGCTTACGCATTATACGTTGTGCAGAAGTGTGTGCTCCCCGCTTTATGTGTAGCAACATTGGGGCCCTATTCTCGAATCGTTTTCATGAAACTCGCATGCGAAATTCAATGCTTTTCAAATAGAAAGTCGCATACGAAAATCGATCATTAGGGCAGGCTCGAGAATACGGTCCCTGAACTGACTAAACATGCCCCGCGGCCGCGGCCACATGCGCATGCTCAGTGTCCGCACGCGCATGCAAAAGTGCGCGTAGACTGCATATAGGAAGTTGTTCCGAAGGTCAATAAACAAACTTGGATATACTACGTTTACGCGCGCGTTTATTTCTGTAGTAACTTAAGCCGTGATCATTACGGATTGGGATTAGGATTGGATTGAAATTTGACCAATTAGAGCATAGTTCTTTAAACTTGAAGTTAGTTTTCTTTTTTCTGATTGATTAAATTTCAATCTAATCTCAATCCCAATCCGTAGTCTGATCACGGCTTTAGGCTGAGTTTCCACTGAGCGCGTCACGCGCCGCGTCATCACAAGTTAACCAATCAAAACATCCCATTTTATTATACGGGGTCTACAATGCAAGTCGTGGGTCGTGAGTTGTAAGAAATGGACCAATCACAATCGAATTTGAGGAGAATAATCGACTGTGATTGGTCATTCTTGCTACTCACGACTTGCGACTCGCATTGTAGACCCCGCATTACATTACTTGTTACAAGATCAAAATGGGATGTTTTGATTTGTTAAAGCGGTTAGCACACACTTCTGCACAACGCATAATGCGTAAGCATAAGAAAATTGATTGGTCCATACACATGTGCATAAAGGCCATTGCACGTAACAAAGTTTCAGTTTTAATCGTAAGGCCGTAAGAAAATAAACCAATCACACTTGATTATTCTTCAAGCGCGAGAACAATAATCGACTGTGATTGGTCTATTTTCTTACAACTTTACGATTATGACTAAAACTTTGTTACGTGCAATGGCCTTAAGGAAATAAACCAATCAATTTTCTTATGCTATCTACAAATACCATAGCGCATGCGCATATGGCTTCTGCATTCTGCTCAAGGCTCCTGCAATTTTATGTGCTTCCACCTTTACTGTGTTCCACCATGCTGTGACGTAGCCATAGACATTGTATATGTCTATGGATGTAACATTTTACATTGATAACAATTGATGGTAATTGATAGATGTTAATGCTAGTCAGAGTTGAGGTTGAGAGTATACCTAAGTCGAAGCAAATCAAGAAAAATGGTCCTAGAAGATTATAAAGAAATTGTGGGATTTTGTGCCATGTTTACTACGATGGTACAAATGTTATCGGGAACGTAAGTGTTACGATAATAAATATTTTTTTATCGTCTTTCTCCATTTAGGTATGTAAATTCATATGTATCATACATTATGTAATCGATCATTAATTATAATACGTGTATGTGTGTGTTTGTGCGTATACAGGGTGAGTCATCTAAAATCGACCACCTGAATAATTCCCACAGTTTTGGAGATAGGAAGAAATGCTTCAAGTAAAAGTTATGTGGTATCAAGGGGGACATTTCGGAAGTAAACATTTTTTCCCAGGTGGAGGTGCTTAGGAGATTTGAAAATCATCTTTATTTTTTTAAATGGATTTTCGAACACCTACGATTGGAGCTTTTTTCAAGACAGTTTCAATGGTCATGGATATTCAAGGTCAGGGACATATGAGAAAATAAGTTAAAAAATGAAAATTTATCCTGAATATTTCCAAAACAGAATACTCGCGGTTTTATTAATTCAATAAAACCGAAATTATTATTTATGTTTGATGCGTGCATGACCGTGATCTGTGTTACTTCATTTAAGCTACAAAGGTTATTTAATAATTCAAAACTACAGATGTTCAAAATGGTGACCGCCCACAGCAAGACAGTGTCTAAAACGATCACCCACAGACTGTATTAAGCCCATTCTACATAGCCGTAAAAGTATGTTTTAAGACGTAAGCAGTAAAAATTGACCAACTACAGTCGATCATTCTTGGATTGTAAAAATCCCATTAGTCAATAGCTTACTGCTTACGTCTTAACGCATTTTACGGCTATTGTAGAATGGGCTTTACACATTGAATTGTATCCTGGTCAGTTGCAGTACAAGCTTATATGAGTTCCTTTATGTCTTCTTTCGTACTCGGTGCATCACGATACACATCTGTTTTTAATTTTCCCCATAGAAAGAAATCTAATGGTGTCAAGTCCGCGCGGTGATTATGGTGGCCATTTACGATTTCCCGAAAATCATTCAATCCAATGATTTTCGAATTTTCTATTGAATCAACGTTCCACCGAAATTTGTTTACATTTACATTAAATGGTCTTGTTATTGAATAACTTTTGTAGTTTAAATGAAGTAACACACACGGTTTTACGCATCAAACATAAATAATATTTCGGTTTGATTGAATTAATAAAACCGTGAGTATTCTGTTTTGGAAACATTCAGGATAAATTTTCATTTTTTAACATTTCTCATGTCTGTGACTTTGAATATCCATGACCATTAAAACTGTCTTGGAAAGGCATCAATCGTAGGTGTTCGAACATGCATGGTTCCATTTTAAAAAATAAAGATGACATTCAAGTCTCCTAAGCACCTCTACTTGGGAGAAAATATTTACCTCCACAATATGTCCCCCTCGATACCACACAACTTTAAATTAAAGCATTTTTTCTTATTTTTAAAATTGTGAGAGTTATTCCGGGTGGCCGGTCTTAGGTGACTCACCCTGTATATCATGATTGATATAATAAAGATTTTACTCTGGAATTCAAAGGAAACTTGACATAATGCACTGTTTCTTGCAAATTAAATATAAAATATTTTTTAAATTTTAGTTTCTTACAAATATTTATTAACCTCTATAAATATTAAGAAACATTTAGAAAGTATTTAAAAAAATTAGATATATTAGTATTCATTTGATTGTTATCTATAACGACTGATATTGGCTACGTTTACACCCTGAATTTAGGCCGCGGCTTAAATGCCCTGGTGTAACCGTGCCTATAGTGTAAAGCTGCAATAACAATTTCATCATATTTTATGACTTATCATTTTAATATCTGTTTACTAAAATATTAATATCTGCTAAGGTAGAGTATAAATCGTTATTAGGTATAATCAAAAATTGTTTTAAAAAAAATGTTTATTTATACTAAATTTTATTATCTACTATAATACTATATATTTTTATAATTTACAGACTAATATGTCGCAACATATATAAGAAAGGTTCAGCCAGAGGAGTTGATCCAATGCCCTTTCTTGGTGGCGTAGGATTGTAAGTATACGTATAGATTATGGCTAGGTTCGTCTTGACGCTTTCAGCGCTGTAAGCATCATTCTATCTTTGTTGCACATTGAACATCAAACGAAGATAGAGCAATGCTTTCAGCGTTGAAAGCGTCAAGACGAACGCAGCCTATATATATGTACATACACAGGGTGTTAAATTTTAAACGTAACAGGTCGAATATCTTGATAACTAAATAAAAATCGAGGTCCGGTTTTTATAGGTTGTATGTTTCATTTGACCTTAACGCCTCCATCTAAGATAAATTTTTTTGTTATCGAAATTTGTCCGCCTTGAAACAATACAACTTAAAAAAAAATCGGACCTTGATATTTTATTTAGTTATCAAGGTATTCAATCTGTTACGTTTGAAATTTAACATCCTGTGTATATAAGTTATATTTAATTAAATAAAGCATTAACTAAATTTTGCATATTTTGCAATAAATAACGATACATTATTTATATAGCAATACATTTATATAATGATACTTTTAGTACTCTCAGTTAGTAATTAATTGTAAAGATTAAATATTTGT